ACTACTACTACTACTACTACTACTACTACTACTACTACTACTACTACTACTACTACTACTACTACTACTACTACTACTGCCTACACGTACGTTGTCATGTTGCAGGGCATGCCAACCCAGTTGCATTCCTGGATGAGGTCCGTGAGCTGGTGACCGTAGTGAGCGATATTCTCCGCACCTTGGGTCGCCTGTTCTCCGTACAGCGATGCGATGAAGTGATAGAGCCTGTTCCTGATCGTCTGATCCGTCTCACTGCCGCTAGGCGTCGCTGCCGTCGTCTGCCCCTCGCCGCCATCATCTGCTACGGCTGCTTCGTCTGCGTCACCACGTGACGTGTAACGAGCGCGAAGCACGGTTACCATAGTTACAGCTACGACTGTGACTACGACAGCCAGGGTTGCGACAAGCATCAACGGAATAGACATATCCGCTTGCAGTGATTGGCGCGCGATAATGACAGGGCCGTAGTAGGAATTAATGTATTGGAGTGGCAAGATGAACGAGTGCCTGAGGCGCTCGCTTCTAGGGGGGTCTGGCGGCATGCCCTCCAAAAAGTGAAATATAGAAGCTCTGAAATGCCATTTCCAGCCATTTCAGGTAGGTTACATATATGGTACATAGGTATCTAAAACTCCTCAAACGGTTAAGCGAGTATTTTCTAATCTTAAGTTCTCATTATTCTTCACTGGGTTCTTTTTTGGCGGGGCAGCTGCCCCCTGCCCCCCTGCTAGCTACGGCCCTGATGACAACGGTAACAACAACAATAAAGACAACAACTAACGACACCAACTACAACGACTACATCGACAATGACTACATTAGTATCTACGACTGCCAGCGCGACAATGACAACGGCGATAACGATTGTAACGACTTTGGATGTACGAGGATGTACTATACTGATAACGAAAGAGCACTAATATACGAGGAACGTGGCGAGGAAATGAAAGATAATATCATTGCGTTAGTTAACTAGGGTGTTCAATCATTTTTCTATCGCCATTATCCATCCATCCGTCCGTCGGTCCATCCGTCCATCCGTCCGTCCGTCCGTCCGTCCGTCCGTCCGTCCGTCCGTCCGTCCGTCCG